CCGCCGACAACACAACGAACTGGACGCTCGATTGGTAAGAGCCATATTCGTCCTGTGCAAACTAAACTGAACTGAACTGAAGGAACACATGAATGTTCCCACGTCAATCGTGTAAAAATAAAAACGGACGCAACGAAAAGACGTATATGTGAGCACTCTTCAAGAAAGGCGACAATAACGCAAGAAGAAATCATATCAAAGACGTTTATGCGCTATGATTTTACCACAAATGTCTGCCTGTGTTTCATGAAAGACTATTCTCACCAAAACGAACAAGAGTCAATGTAATGTAGCCATAAGAGGTGATATACCAACCTTCATATTCTTCATCCAAAATTTTCTTTTCAATTTTCCAGCACTAGCTTCGAATTGTGAAGCGCCCGCTTGCAAAACATCTAAGAATGTGGGTTAGGTCAGAAGAAAGGCGACAGATACCAGCTCTATCATCCAATTGAGAGAGCTTTTGATCACGCTCCAGTACCTTTTCTACGTTGGTACGCATTATGTCTACAACCTATGGACACATAGAGCTAATTGAAGTGTACGCAAACCTCATCAACTTGTGCCTGTGTTTGCTGAAGACGTTTGTTAGGCGCAGCAGTGTATGATGGAGCGCCATTTTGTCTAGAAATAAATGAGGTGTCAGTTAACATCAAAAGCCACCAACATATCTCCAGAAGCATTAGCAGGAACTGGTTGAGCTGACCTGCGAAATATAACAATATAATGCTAAATAAAACGTACATCTCCTAATAAACGGAAAAAAGGAACTGTCCACTTTGTGGTCAGGGATTTCAGTTCAGGTTGCACAGGGCGGAAAAGGCTTTCGCCAACCAAGCGTCCAGGCTCTTGTTTCGGTAGGAAGGTTTCTTCTTCCAAAGCTTCAAAAATCGTTTCAGTCGCTGTCTTGCAACTGTTTTGCGGCAGGAAACTGGTTCCGGTACGATATCTGTAAGGGAGAATAATTGGAAAACTAATAGCATGTCAACTGTAGTAACATTCTTTTCATTTTCTATCGCTATTCCCGTGATCAATGTAAAGACCCTATTTTGTTTTATTGTCCTCCTTTTCGAGAACCCTTATGACCTCCACCCTGGCACAATTTCCGGTGAGTTGTGTCGTGCGCTTTGCTCTGTACATTTTCTGCTGCAGGTCACATACACTTCAAACGCTCGTACCCGGCTTCCTTCTCAATTCTTTCTTGCCTTGGGAAACCTCGTAATAGGCCCAAACGATTGAATACGTAGACGCGTCATAGTTTCAGCCCAATAGTATCCGTGCACAACAACCCTAAACAATCTCAGTCCCTGCTTCTATACTACCTCTGGGTATATTTGGGTCCAAACCCTGTCTAACTGCCTCTTAAAATCGACTGCACTCGCATAATCCATCAGGTGAGGTGGTAGCTGATTCCATCTATCAACCACTCGGTTCGTGTAGAAGTTAAAACGCACACCGAGGACAGCCCTTGGTTTTAAGAGCTTTAAGCTGTGTCCCCTGGTGGCCTCTACGGGCGCTCGAGTGAAAAACTTTCGGCGCTTACAGCGGTGAAACCTTTCATTATCTTAAACGTTTATATGAGGTCACCCCTGAAACGTATTCTCTCCATAGAGAAGAGATCCAATGCTTCAAGCCTTTCTTCATATGGCTTGCCCGTCATGCCTGAGACCATTCGGGTGGCTAACCCCTGAACCTTCTCGCTGCACTGAATGTCTCTTTGCAGATAGGATGCCCAGGCCTGGACACAGTATTCTAGGTGGGGTCTCACCAGTGCCTTATACAGTGGGATAGAGACTTCTGCCTTGCTCAATGTATTTCGCAACTGAAATAGCTGACCTCTAGTCCTTTGCGCTGCAGCTTTGCATTGGTTGCCTGGCTTGTAAGGCTCGG